CATTTAGATGAGCTGTTGGGGGATATGGTGTAGGGGAGAACTTTGTAGAGTAGGGCTGATGGTTGGACTCGGTGATCCCAAGGGTCTTTTCCAACCTGAATGAATCTATGATTCTATGATAATCTCCACCTCTCTCTCCTTGGAAATAAGAGACCCTGTGCACAGTTCCTCCCTAGATGGAATCTTCCTACACTTCAGACAAACATTTTCCTCCACTAGGTCTCAGCTACTCCATCAAATGTCTCTGATGTACCTCTGCAGTTGACTTATGCACCTTTAATAAGTCCTGTGTGCGTTCACTCCCTTTACCCCTCTGCACATTTGCAGTTGAAATTCCTCCGGCATCCTATACCTTCCGAGTTAACTGTATTGATGGATCAGTGTCCCCAGATATCCAAGCATAGGTAAAGAGTGTAGGAAATTCAGAGACTCTTGTTTGACGTGGTTAGCTCTAGCTTTGTCCTTTCAGGCTGGAGCAAGATCTGTTCTAAGCATTGAAGGACAAAGCAACACTAACAAAACAAAGAACTTTTTGGTTAGTGGAGCTTCTGAAGAGTTGGCAAAAAGCTCCAAAGGAGGGCTATCAAAGCACTGACTATAGCCATTTTAAATGCTTCAGGCTGTTTGTGCTCAACACTGAGCTTGTTTTCACCTGACAGTTAAGTGAGTTGGCCTGGTCTGAGTACAAGTGACTAGAACATGAAAAAAAATCAACCGCAAAAATGCAGGGTGGTAAATGGCAAAGAATTTGTTGGAACTTGAATTGCTGTGTTGCACTGCATACCAAAATAACGACACCATTCAGAATCCAGCCCTTTACCCATGATAAAGCCAGATCCACCTTCAGTGTTATCCCAAGTTCAATTTGTTGTGTGGGCAAATGAGAGGTCTGGGTAAAATTTAACCAAGCTAAAGATACAGCAAAGGCAAATGTTAACTCTTCACTTTCCGTGGCTAATTCCTTAACTTTTCTCAGGTAAAGGAAAGCTCCCAGTTGCCTAGTCTCTGGTTGTTCTGCCTGGGTAATCTGAGCCAACTTCCTAACAGACAGACCTACACATCAGTTCCTGCCACTCACAAAACATACTGGGTCTGTAAAACTAGTCGGAATTTGTTGTGAATTTGCATTTAGTTACACTGTGCCATGACCGTGCTGGTACTGATAGCTGTCACACAGATCTTGAACTGCCCCCCCTGCATCTCCTCTTTCTAGCAGCAGTTGTTTCTCAAGTACTGATGAGTCTTGTTCCTTTACTGTTTTATATTATTGCTATTTATTCCAACAGCTCTGAACTGACTCCTACTGAAGCCAGCAAGTTTAACTATTAGCTTCACAAGGAATGCAATGGTACATGTGAATAGTATAAACGTATTCCATATCAACTCTGCTAGCTCAGTCTACATGCTTCCCCTCGTTATGTAGTGGGGTGGTCTGACAGCTACTGGCTTTCCAAGAAATGTATGTTTGTCCTAAGTTCTCCCTGTGCTTCCTGTTTTGTGGTTTGGTGTTTTTTTGTTGTTGTTTTGGTGGTTTTGGTTGGGTTTTTTTAATCCCCTATCTCAACTTGAATGAAAGCTGTTAAAGTTCTGGGAGATGGACTGTGTGCATACGCACATACAGAAAAAGCAAGTGCAAGATGACATTTGGCTTTGTGACCTATTGAAATCACTACAACCTGAGTGTGAGGATTTTTAAAGGAAAAATGTTACCCTGAATACAGCTGCTTAACTACTTTGTGCTTTATTTCATGAAGAAAGAGCAACATGTATTTGTCTAGTATTGCTATGGTGACAGTCACTCACAGGTTGGGGAGGAAGGCAGTGATAGTGCAAACACAAAATTTCATGAGATGTGCATGAGTTAATGTCAGATGTGACCTTGCCTAGTTTGGAAAATGATAGTTTTTCTAGCAACTGCTCCAAAGAAACAGATACAAAATGGAAATACAGATTTTTTTTTTTTAAAAAAGCCAGTTTGCTAAGTTAGTCTTATTCTATTTCTTTAACACCTGGTACTGGCTTACAGTGGGCAATCAGAAACTTCTGGTTCCCTGCTAAACTGCTGTAAATAGTTTTTGCAGCGATCTCCAAAAATCTCTCCAAGAATGCTTTCTTCATGCCAACTTCTGGCTGCATCAGCATCACATCTTTTGGCGCTAAGGTAGCAGGTCTTGCTATAAAAATGTGCCTGTCAACACTGAAGAGGGAGTCTAGACTTCAGCTGCAGACAGCTGTGAAAGCAGAAAAATACCTAGAAATTAACAGGAAGCAGGGACAGTGCAGCAGCGTCTCTTAATGTATGAAGTTGCTCTTGGCTTTTACCCAGGGAGAACACCTGCTCCTTGTCCACACTGTGTCCCGCTGGTCAGCCCCAGCCACGTATGCACTGCATGGGATATCTCTGGACACTGCACCTATTCTGCAGGTCCTTAGCCACTTCTAGGGGATCTTTGTAAGTCATCTTCAACTTGTGCTGCTTCTGAATTCACTGACTCAGCCTGTACTTAGAATTCTGTCCTCTTAGGGTGAAACTCCAGCTAAAAATATCCCAAATCAGGAGGGAACTCCAGCTAGTCAGGTCTGCTAGGCCTTCTGTCCCATCCAACTTTTGTTCCACTTCCACGGGGTTAGGGAAAATGTGAAGATCTTTTCCAAGATGTCTCTGAAGCAAGCAGGCTTGTGTAACAGACTGGGGAAAAGAAGACAAAGTGGGTAGGGTTGCTGCTGCATCATGAGAAAACTTTTTATATATGCAATAACAGCCACCCTTCACCATAGGATTACCCTGATTTTTATGAGAGGTGCTGCAAGGGCATGTTAAGGCCTGTTTGGCCCCAAGACTTCTTTCCTGACATTCCTAACCGTACAGCAAGGCCAAAACAGCACAAGTTGGTCCCAAGAGCAGTGGTGGGGATCCAGTACCAGTAGTATATAGATGCCAGGACTAGATATAGGAGGTAAAAAGAGAAAGGAAAACCAGTCTGTGTGCTTGAAATGAGGGGAGATGGAAGTAAACTGAAATGCCAGGGAGGAAGAATATAGCATAGGAGATTGTGCAGTCTGAGGAGAGGTTAACAGGTGTTAGAAGAAAGCAAAAGGCATGAGAGAATTCAGATGGATGCGGAGATGAGCAGCAGGGAATGTTCTTAGCAAGGAGCATGAGGAAGTTGAACACAGATGGCAAGGTATGAATAAGCAGCCAGATCTGAGAAGCTGCAAGGGTAGGATGGAGAAAAACCTTAAAGTCCAAAAATTAGAAGGTAAAAAGTATATGAATATCTAAAATAATAATACTTTCCAAATCAAAATTATTATTTTTTTAATCCTGATGTTAGAAAGCCATACAGAAAAACTAAGCAAAGGCAGTGTAAGAATAATTTTATTTAGTATTTTGGTAGCACAATGATACATCTCAAAGTGATTGTAAAAGTTAGCTCGCTGAACAACTGCATACATTCTAAATGGGTGCTACTAAATTTGCGTAACTTCACAGATTATATGAGGCATTATTTGACCAACAGCTATATAGCGTGTGACCCCCTGACAGATGTGAGCAGTGTGAACAGACATTGCATTAGTAGCCAATGCACAGTAAAAGGAGTACAAAATTCAAAAGCCATTTTTATCAAAATATGAATCGGTGACCCTTGCGTTAATAGTAACTATTCAGTTGAAGGTGAAATCCTTTCTATTTTTTTATAGTAACAATATTTACAATGGTACAAGGAAAACTGTCTTGGCTAGCATTTGATCTAATGTAGATCTCCATATGAAAATGCTGGGTATCTTTATAAAGCTCTTCACAGATACAAGCTAAGTTCTGGGATATCACAAACTTGTACATAATTCAGAAAAACACCTGAGGTTACTTCTTGTGTATGTAACAGAAAGCTTTTTCAGCTTAAAGAAAAAGAAGATAGATGCAATATGAAGTCAGAGACTTTAAACAAGTACACTGCTACTCTGTGGGGTTACAGAGCAGTACTTTTAGGCTCATTTCAAGTTTTTTTAAAATCAGCAGCAAAGCTTCTACTTAAGGTCAGGATTGTGTTGTTAACTCAGCTCTTCCCAGTATCAATATGAGTTCTGTCACAAGACTGACCATCTATCGGAACACCCAGTGCAAATCTTCACTTGCTTAGGTCTCAGCAGAGCTACTTTACTGTCTAATTGCACCTTTATTCTTCTAGCTCTACTAATATCTTATTTAGTACTAGGCTGATCACAGCAAGTCACGTGAGGTACTCTCACTTCTGATGCAACTGAAGGCAATCTGCAACTCCAAAAAAGCGCCCAATACTTTCCAAATTCAGGCACTTATATAGGGTTGTTTGATTTTTAAAGAAATACATGCAGCTTTGTGTACACAAACATTAGGAGAGGTTCAAGGCTGTGAAGTTTCATGTATGTGTTTTACTTTAAAATAATAGTTTTGTTTGGTTGTTTGTTTTTTTTTAAATTTTAAGTCCTTGGCCTCACAAAAGTTTTAAAAGTACTTTTTCTTCAGTTAATGGGTACATTAATTAGGACATGTGATGTTAGTTTTCCTTCTGAGACTTTGTCCCAAGCAAATTGTACTAAAAGTACCTAGTTGATTTTTGGATATATCATCTAACTCAATCTAACAAAATGACTAGCAAACATATTTGCTGCACGCTTTACTTGAGGCTTGCAGCATGCAAGTCTTAATATAAACCCCTCAAATCCTCACTTCTAAATACCTCGGCTCATGTGGATGTTACTGGACTTATGTGCCTAGGGACGTGAGTATTAACTATTTACTAGATAAATACAAAGTTCATAAAACTTTCTAATTAAAATACCTATTTTTTTAATGAATATGCTAACGAACAGCTCAGCATATGGTTAGCATCACCTTGCCATTTGGTGACATACCAAATCTGATCTTTCAAAACTTAATGACAAGTTACTATATCAGGACATTCTGTTCATTCTCAAATATGAATTTTATTTTCAAATGTGCTTATAAGCAAGTCTTCTAGTCATTTATCTAAACACTTTGGAATGCTACAGACAAGACTTTACATTGCCATTTTATCAAAAATCATTTGAACATTTATTATTGAGGCATTATTGTACATCCCAGCAGTCACGATGCAGGAGCTGCCATGTGCCTACGGCAGTCTCCAGTAGAGTGAATTCAGAGTCAGGCTGCAGTTTTCTGAGCAACCCTTTTTTTTTTCCTTTATGTTTTTAAAAATAAGAGATTTCGCTTTGGGATGTGGAGTCACTGAAGGCAAACTTAAAGAGTTAAGGCACAGCTCGTGGAGACATGGAGAGGATTGTACAAACAGTTCCTGGAGATGCTCCAACCAGTCAGTAGACAAAAAGCGCTTTACAATGGCGACTTCTGTGAATAAGCTAGAAAATATTACTTTCAAATTGCATATGTTTTATAATTTTAATATATTAAGTTGTTCCCCTGGGTCTCCTAGAATTAGAGAGGACTGAATTACACCTTGTGCAGTTTTCCTTCCTGCTCTTGTAACCTGTAACATTGGTTGTTTTACAGAAAGCTCACCAGAACAAACTATAACTTATTTAAGTCTAAAAAGAGAGAAGGGGATTATCTTTAGATGCGAGGTTCATTGCTTAGGTGTTTCCTGACAGCTGATTGTCATTGGCTGCTTTCTCTGCTTGCAGTCTTTGGACAGCCTGATCGAGCAAATCCATAGTATCTCGAAGCGTAACATTCAAGGTGAACGGCTTAGGTTTAATGGTCAACCCATAGGTGAAGTCCATTTTAGGGTCCTCGTTTGGATTGGCAGTAAAATTGCACTGATGTACCAGTATGGAGGTAAAAAGAAAGAGCTGCACCTTGGATAACTCCTCTCCAATACACCGACGTTTTCCCAATGAAAAAATCATCACGCTACTAGTAAGATCTTTATTGATGAATCCATTCTCATCCAGGAATCTTGTTGGATCAAAATCCTCTGGGTTGGACCATTTCGCTGGATCGTGATTCACTGACCACTGATTCACAAAAATCACTGTGTCCTTGGGAATGAGGTAGCCCATTATGAAGGTGTTGGTCGTGGTGGCGTGTGGGATAGTAACAGGCACAAAGCTGCTGAAGCGCATGGATTCGTACAAGAAAGCCATGATGTAGGGCAAGTGAGGCTGATCTTCAGCACATGGCAGACGGTCTCTTCCAACAATCCTATCCACTTCTTCTTGCATTTTAGCTTGTACGTTCGGATACCTGTCATTTAAAGTAAGATGTGTGCATGTACATAATACTTTTAAAAGACTTTCTTCAAAATAATCCTTGCTGTAAACATTTCTCATAGAACCTCACCCCTGCACTAAATAATGCAGTTTGAGCAAAGTTTAAATATATTGCATGAATATGCAGATCTTGATGGAAAACTCTGAGAGAAAAATTCAAACTTCCCATGCAATGGTGTCAGTTTTCACTTTAGTATCACATGTAACTGATTGTCAACATAAAAAAACCAATCTGACCAAATTTTGAAAATTCATTCTAAAACTAAAATTACTTGTCTCTTCCAAATATTGGGCTTTCCATGGGAACAAGAATTTGGTTTTCCCAGCTCTGTATGTGACTTCTAAAAGTTAGCACGGAGTTTGTTATCATGACACATATTGCATACATATGAAAGTCTGCAGGTTTTTAAACTGAAAAAAAGCCCTGCTAATAATTGTCTGAACAGCTTTATGAACATCCCACTCTTAGTCTGCTTATAATTTTTCTAACTATTATGAAAATGTCTTTTAAGATGACTGTCTTGAAGTCTGGATAGTTTGGAAGATTACACAGTAATGTGATCAAAGTATTAGTAAGTTTTGCTTATTTTCTTTTGCTTGTCTAAAAGCACACGTTCCCCCAAGGAGCCTTTATTTGTTTTCAGTATTCAAGCTTGGCTTCCACGTCCTTGCTTTTTCCTCCTGCAGCAGCTCTGCATGTCAAATGCCAGGCAAATGTAAGAAACGGGGAGAAACCCCACAGGTTGTGCTAACACGGGGCATCGCACCCTTATAGCTCGAAGTGTGAAATCTCTGCCTGCCTTTCAAGAAGTGGTTGCTTAGATAATGTTTGCATGAGACTACAAATTACGCAGAGGATGAAAGGAAAAGCCGGGATGGGCAAGCCCATCAGCCTTCCGCCGCCTCGTTACACCACGCTGCGCAGCCGAGACGCGCCCCTCGCAGGGCCGGTGCCGGGGTCGGGCGCAGAAGGGGTCAGCTCGCACCCGCCGGC